CTACCATCTCGTATGGGTTACAAAATGCAACCAGTGATTTTCTTTTACTCCACCAAACTATGCCTAACAATGGAGTTGTACAGAGAAGGTGTTACCAGGTTTAGAAGATTATAAAAAAAGCCTTTTTTTATTATTATTTTAACATCTTTTCTTCATGAATGCACTGAAGTGCAGTAAGTCTTTTCTTGGTGAGCCATGACAGGCATGAAGTTGGATAATCTGAGAAATACTTTGCTTTAGACAAGAGAATAGTCTTTTCTGATAAACTCTACCAGCTATGGCTTGCTAAATTGAATGGTGTCTACGAGGCCCATAAGTTTGTTTTCTCTCATATACCTGATACACATAATGCACATCCTGCCCTGATAAAGTAGTTCTTTTTGATTACATTGAGGAGGAGTGTGCAGAACATGTGCATGATACACTGCTAGCTGCCTGTAATTTGTACCAACACACCAGTTTTTAACATAAAAGTGTGAATATCAATAGTATGAATATCAATAATCTGCTATTACAAGAAAGGCAGGAAAAACATCTTAATAAGCTTTCCATCTAGTTCTTTTGAAGAGGTCGCTGAGGCCTTATTACAAATTGTACTTTCTGTAATACAGAAAGGCTCCCATCATTAGAGAAGATATATCTATGTTGATATTAATTGAAATAAGGATTTTTCCAGGCTAACTACGCTGGCAAAAACGCATTTGCCAGACTGTAACAATTTTGTTTTGTTCCAAATGTATTTTGCATTTCAAGTGACAACCTGGTTTCAGGCTTGTGGGACACAGCGCATATGCCAGATTTTCCAGTTTGTTCTCAGCAAGGTTAAGGGAAATTAGACCAACTGGACTAAATTATCCTTTCATATAAAAATTGTGTCACTGTTTAGATGTCAGAATGGGACATGTACAAAGGAGCTTAGTTCTCGTACTTCTTTCCATAAAATAATGAATCCTGGAGCTCAAGGTTGAGGAGCTGCTTCAGAACATAGGGAAATTAATTTTCTTCTCACCCTCCCTCTGCTGTACCCTTTGAAAAGTTATAGTGACTTTTTTAACATCAGAATACGTTGTTGCCTTTTCCCAGAGAATTGCAAGGTGCAATGTTTATTGTCAGCACTACAGTGATGTATTGTATCATCAAGAGAGGAAGAGCTGGATTGTTTCTGCTCTTCCAAGAAGCTATTTATCTGTGTATATAGAATATTCAGCTGTTGTCAGGTAACTTGCTATTTTCTGAGGCCTCAAATATCTTGCCTGTTTTACTTTGTGGAATCTGAGTCAGGATAAGTCCCTTGAGCCCTCAAACCTTTAAAATGTCTGGCAAGGTAAGAAAGGAGCACTGCTGAAGTCTGCCTGCAACGTACCACCACAGTGTGCTACCACAATTCTGCTGCAGAGTATTAAAATTTTGAGATTCATCAAATCTCTTACTTCTTGGGAAAAAACATGTGCATTAAGTGATATGATATTATAGGTGAAGTACAGATGGGAGAATGTGCTGAAGGACACAAGACTGGGGAATCTGAAGCAACTTTCAGCATCTGCGAAATAATTCTAATTATTTGGATTAATACATTTCTGGTTTGTAGGTTGATCATCTTATTAAATCTACCTCACCTACTGTCTTTAAACATTAATTTTTTTTTAAATATAGATGCCCTTATAACTGACTATTCTGAATTTTAGAAGTCAGCTGGCCATGCAGTACAGCTTTGAGGGGATTAGGCTAAGGTCTCACTGTGTGTAGCAGAAATAGGAATAGAAATAGAAACTGTAGGACAGGATATGATGCCTGAAGTAGACAGTTTTGAGAATCTCTTCAGGAAGAAATACTCCTAGAGTTTTATAAATTTATAGCCAAACTTAAGATTTAAATACAGAAAAAAGAAAATTAGTTACTGTTAATTTGCAGATTGGCATGCTGGTTTTAATTTAAATTTTGGCTGAAGTTATTAAAAATGGTGCTTTGCTCCTGTACAAACAAAGTTATTTAATTATTAAACTGCACATAGTGTGAGATAATTAATTCTTTGTGCAATGTCAGTTTTGGCATGGGTATTTTCCAAAATTTTTTTATACTGGAATCTGAGTTCGAAGTGCATCTCCTGCTTTAGAGTGCAGCTCTAAACAGTGCTATTGTGAGGAAGAGAGTGATTCTTCAGTAACAGCAACACCTAGAACTGCTCATGAGAAGGACCTGCACCTTTCTGAATGTAAGGTTTTTACATCCCTATGTGCTTCTGGAAAATGAGTAAAAATACCTTTAACTTCAGCAGGTATCTTTCTCTACCATATTGACCTCCACGTGATCCTAATATTATCAGAAGTTCTGTTCTTTATTTAGTTTTCATTTTGGTGTAATCTTTGTTAATATTCAGTACCAGAAGTCCTTGAATAATCGGAATAGATGTGCTGTCACCAGGTTTTGAAGTAATGCTGGACATCCTGTCATGCTAATCCAACCTGCTTGCTTTTCTAGATTAACAGAATGAACTACTTACCAGTGTCTTAAGTGGACCCACATGGACCCCGTAGCATGCAGGGGAAGGTTTTAATCACAGAGATCTAGAGAAATTAGGAGTATCTGTTTGGTTAATTTGGTTAATTTTAGCTGTTTTGGGAAATTATGATCATACCATTTACAGTACTCCCAAGTGGCAGTCAACTCCAGCTACCACAGATGTGACTTCTTACTATGACCCAGAAAACCCTGAACAAGCTTCCTAAGATTGTAAAGATTACCCTCCAGTCTGTTGCCCAGATTTTTGCTAAATAATTAAGTCATAAGAAACACTTTCCAGTTTTCATTTTGACTTTATACTAGAGAAATCTCCAATATTTTGCTGGTTTAAGATTATAAAAGTCCAAAATGGACAAAATTCTCTCTTTTAGAGTTCAAAATTTATGGTGTGGCCAGCAGATAAATCTTAAATGTTTGCATCTATTTAAATGTGTTGTAAACCATTCTTTTAAAGTATGCATAAATGTACATGTATTCTTACTTAGTTTTTTCATAGTACTGAATGATCTACACTGCATCTTCTGTGAATTTGTCTCATGAGGCATTTATCTAAAATAGAAGGCAAGGATTGGGCTGAGGCTTAAATTGTGATCATTTGGCTTTGGAGTCTTTTCCAAGTATCTATGTTTTTGACTGGGACATTTTATAAGACTGAAAGAACTGCTAAATTAAAGATACTTTAATTTGTATGAAGTTAATTTTGTATGAAGCTGTAATTATTACATGTAATCAGAAGGGATGGAATGGAGGTAGATATAATGAGTGCATGGATGGAAATAAAATGAAGCTAAAAGTGGTAGTGATTGCAAGGGGATTATTTTCATACTCTAATTAATTTTGTAAAATCTAAAACTGGAATGTTGAAGCATGCTTATATCTTTAAGGGACTGTTTTAAGAGAAATATTTCTGCTGTAAAGGAAACAGATGTTTTTACTCAAGAATTATTTCACTTTTTGTTGGAACTGGTATCTTTATCTACTCCAACTCTAGCTATGCAAGCTCCTTGTTTGGTAGCAAGAGTGATGATCAAACTGTTTTGTTTTCTTGGGCAAGTCAGTGTTTCTAGATGTGTTCTGGGCTATAATGATGTTAATGAAAACTTTTTTTGGCCTCTAAAAGCAAACAGCTGCATAGAATTTAATATTCTTTGAGAAGTCACACAGGAGTAGGGACAGTAGGGTAAGAGGTAGTTTGGTAGATAACTTGACAGAAGAAAACACTTTTTCAGTGTCTGTATTGAATTTTTTTATAAATCAGAGTTGTGTAGTATTTATCTAAAAAGGGCATGTCAAAGTTTTCACTCAATACTCATAAAAAATTAGGGTAAGTCAGTACTATATTAATGGCAAATAGACTCTGTATGGCTTTGTTTGATACTTATATGTGATGTGTCATCGTGTATGTGCTCAGTTTGTGTCAAGAATCTTAGGCAGAGGAAGTCTAGCAGTCCCTGCTTAAGCTCCAGTTGCCTCTGGTTGCTGAGGATTTTTTGAAAGAGGTATTCTGTAAGACACACAAGTGGCAGATTATAATGATCACAGCCAGCATGTTCACACTGAGTGAGAAAACTGCGTTATACTGATGGTGGAGCGAAGGAGCACTGCACGCTCCGTAGGAAATCCTCTCAACCAGGCAGCTCTATTCCAGTCAGCAGCCAGTCCTTACCTGCCTTTGCTCAGGGCACAGGGTGCTGTATTAGTTGTTACTTCTGAGGTATCAGAAGCATAGGCTGCTTGAGTCGAATCTTCATTCAAATTTAACAATGTGAAATAAAATTCAGAGTTTTCTTGGCAGCTGCATTCAGAAGAGAGAGTGCTACACACACTTAATTTTACTGGCTCATTTAAAGTCTTAAAATTCTGAATCACGTGAACAATTTTAGTGGACTTCTTTCTTTTGAACTGCTTTATTTAAGTATAAATAACAACAGCGGGTCTTTACTCATTAAAAACCACAACACGTTCTTTTTCTCTCAAGTTTATTGTTTCTAGGGGAGCATTTTTTCATAGTTAAGTGTGTAAGCATAAAAGTCTGTTTTTCTGTTTACCTGACCATTTTCTTCTGGAATTAACCCTTTCTTCTAGAATTTATTAATTGTATATACTAAGCAGAAATTTTGTGCCTCCATTGTAAGATAATAATCACTGGTACCAGCAGATACCACTGAGAAATAGCTCCAATACAGTTGTTGGATAGTAAGAAACCCTTATTCACCAGCCTATATTCTCACTGCTCAAAATCATTAATTAATCAAATAAACATCCTCACATGCAGCAAACACTAGTCTCCATTCTGAAATCAGAACTGTATGAGGGTATGATATATTCGGTGAATTTAATTTATGAAAACAAACTAACAGCCTTAACAACTTATTTGTAATTTGTAGATCTTATCCACTTCTTGGGTTTGTTTATTAAAAAAACTCTGCTTTATAAATGAATCTGTTATTTTCCTTTCTTGTTCCCTTACCCTTTCCAAGGTTACGCCTTTCTGCTGTTCCAGGAAGAAAGCTCTGTACAAGCTCTGATAGATGCCTGTCTGGAAGAAGATGGGAAACTTTACCTATGTGTGTCAAGTCCCACAATCAAGGATAAACCAGTAAGTAGCTTATGCCATGACCCTTATGCTGGTTGCTAGCACGTTTGCTGTTACTCTTTTCAGTTAATAAATAAATAAATAAATAAATACAGTTGATTACTTGTCACTTCCTGTTTCTGCCCTTGCTGTTATGTTGAATTGACTTTCTGTATCAGCATAACACGGCTTCAACATTTGCTTTTTTCTGATAAATACCATGTTCTTTTAATTTTTATATTTGGTACTCTAGTATCTAAAAGGAGAATGCATCCTTTTAGAATGTTAGCTGTAAAACAATGGAATTGTAGCTTTCTGGCTATGTTATTTGAGAGGAAAAAAAGCCTTTTGCAGTGAAGGGAAGAAGCTTAACCCTGCCAAATTAAAATCCAGAAAGCATCAAATATCCTCTGTACTTCATTGGGTTTCTTAATTATTATTTTTTTATGCATGCAATAGCTAATCAATTTATAACTTAGGCCTCATTTATCTTATAGAAACTGCAGGGTAAAATCAAGTACTGCAGACAGCTGTAGCAGAATAGAAGACCTGTTTTTATTGTTCACATCTCTAACATTCTTTAATGTTAGTCTTTTTTTTTGCCCGTGGATGTATACAGATTAGATGAAAACTACAGACAAGTAAGATAAGATAAAAAACATGCTGCCTTTTAAAATCAATATTGAAAATCTTGCATAGATGAATGAACAACCCAAGATTACAGCACAGTGAGTGGGCTTGTGTGATTTCTAGAATCAAAAAAAAATGGATTGATGAACAGCTCTATCTAAATAACTTCTGAGCAGTTTTTTTTCTGAACAGTCTGAAGATTTCTTATCAACTGTGTTGCTTGTTGCTCAATAGAAGTAGGCATTCACACATTATACAAACTCCTTTTGTATCCAAGCACTGAAATTAATTTTATCTCCACTCCTATCAGTGCTTTAAAATTTGTAGATCACTGGATGTGATTTCAGGAAAGCCAGAAGTCCAAACTGCAACGGTAATTGCAGATAGATGGTAAAATGTTCTGAAAGACCTTTCACAGATTTCTTACTATAATGGCGATTAGGGGCAGGGGATTAATGAGGGTAGGAGTTTGCAATGGTGAAATTTAACTCAAGCCTGGCCTCTAGAGGTGGTAAATGAATTGTCCACCTTCTTTTGGACACATATAAGCAATGTTCTCACATTGTTTTGGTGCTCATGTCACCGATTTACTGTCTTCATGAAATTAAAATTTTGGTTTTAATTATAGAAGGATTTGGCAGTTTCTTAATTAAGTGGCCAAGTTCCTCGACTAAAAACAGTCCTTAATACAGGTGCAAATTCGACCTTGGAACCTAAGTGACAGTGACTTTGTGATGGATGGGTCTCAGCCTTTGGATCCAAGAAAAACAATCTTTGTTGGAGGAGTTCCACGGCCCCTCCGAGCTGGTGAGTAGAAGGAAAATGTAGGCATGTAGTAGGGGGGTCCAGATTAAGTAGAAAAAAATGTGTAAAAGAACAGAAGATATACTATGTCTTTTCCACAGATCACAGCTTGGTTTGTAAGTCAAGGGGTCTCTTCCTGTCTGCAGAATACAAACCGTGAACATTTTTTACCTTTTAAGTAGGTTACTAATGAGGATTGCCAGTAGACCATCTTAATCCTAACCCTGCATTTGTTTGCTGAGATGCAGACAATTTCCCCTTTCCTTTGACTAGAAGACAAACTTCTCCCAGACTCTTTCCAAACCAATTCCAACGTCAACTCTTTCCCATTTATTCAACCCTTACCCTAATTTTTTCATGGAGCTATGGACAAGGCCTCTCAGCTATTGTCCTGAAAAAAATTTCTCCCAACCAGTTCTCTTGGTGGCCCCACACTGAAGACCATTTTCCAGACTCTTTCCTAATGTAGTTTTTTTCCCTCCGTTTCTTTTTCTTCACCCTTAACTCTTTTTCTTCACTTTTATTTGCAGAACCATAGACAAGACTCCTTAGCCTTTGGCCAGAGGAAAGATTTATCCCAGCTCAGATCTCCTGGCAGCCCCCATTTTGTTTTGAAGGCCCCTTTCAGCACCACTCCCAACTGTAGCTCGACACTCGTTTCTTTCTTCCTAACCCTTACGTTTCTGGTGAGCCAATGACAAAGTCATGAAACAAGTCAAGACATTTCTCCTGGCTAGATCTTTTGGCAGCCCTCACTTCTGTTTAGTAGTCCCTCTCCATGCTCACTCCAAGGCAGCTGCATGGTTTCTCTTTTTCACCCGCTCAATCCTAATCCTCATTTTCCAGGACTGTAGTAGACAAGACCTCTTAGTCGCTGTCTGGAAGAAAGACTTCTGAATCAGGTTTCCTTGTAGCCCTCACTTTCCTTTGGCAGCCACTTTCCAGCCCACTAGAATTTAAGCTCCTCACTTTACCTTTTGCCTAATCCTAAATCTTTAGGGAAGCTGTACACAAGGTCCCCCAGCCACTGCAGACAGTAAGATTTCTCCTAGTCCAGGTTTCTTGGCAGCTTTCACTTCCCTCTGCGTCTTAAAATAAGGCAGAGTTGTAAGATGATAATTATGTAAATAGTAACAATTAAACATTACCTCATTTCTAATGATAGCCTTTATAAAACTATATGTCATTTGGCCTGTCATAGATCACATTTGAAATGCATTACATTTGAAAACTAATGCCTTTAAATAGTTAACTTCTCCAAAGCAGCCAAACAGTTTCCAGTTTTTCTTGTTTGCAGCTTTAAAGATCTGCTACAGAAGTTTTTCCTAAGATATCTGAGCACTGCATGGTCTCCTTGCCCTGGAATCCTGTGTATTCTTTGCCCATTGGCAAGAGTAACTTAGCGGAACTACTGTTGTAAATGTCTTCAAGTGTTCCTGATGTTTATTCTGTACTGTGGTTTTCTGAGATCACTACCCACATAATGATTCCAAATCATTAGAAAGCAGAAGAATCTACTAGTGACTACATTATGCTGATAGCTTTTCCTTACTGTTTGAAGCAAGAGTATTACCTGGTTTGATAGAATGAGTCACACACAAATTTATACAAACACAGATACCTACTCAATTTAAAATTGTCTCTATTCTATGTATAATTTACTAGTCAGAATTTTGTGAGAACTACAAGGATTTAAATATTTAGGGTGGGTTTTTTTCATTTGATTTTGCGTAGCTAAATTGTAACTCACTATAGAAAGTGTTTTCACACATTAGCACTAGAAGATGGCTGACTTGGCAGGGCCTGTACAGGTCCCAGTATTTTGTGTTGTCCATCTGACAAATTTCTTTGCCTGTGAGCTTTTACAGACAGAGAACTTGGCTCAGTGACCATACGTCCTTGCACAGTTCACATGCCTTTCTCTGCTTTCTTCAGCCTCTCTTTCACTTCCTTCAGTTCTTTCCCTTAACTTTCCTTCTGTAGGTTTCCTCAGCCATGCACTCAACCTGTCTTATTTTATGAATGATATTTCTGACTTCTTTACAGTTATTCTTAGTATCAGAAAAAGCAACAAACCATTTTAAAAGATCCATGAGCAAGATAATGTTCCACCAAAATACTAATTTAAGTTACACAGAAAATGTAGGCTTGCTTTACCTGTAGTAACATCTGATGTTTCACAATTTTTTGTTTCAAATGTAAAACACCTCTTTAATGTCTTTTGAACCTTAGTACTTGGGGCAAAATATCAGATTCTAAATATAGAAATATCTCTAAGTGATCTTACATGCAAACTAGCATTAAGAAACCTGGCTGGAGCTACCTGATGCCTAATACCAGAGTTTTAATTTATAGTATTGTAAATTCTAGTTGATCTGATACCTGCTTTAACAGTGTAACTCTGCATATTTTTCACACTTCAGTCACACCAAGTTTCTTTTTACAGATTCTATTTTTTGCCTTATATTTTACTGTCATTCATGTAGAGTTGATTCAATCTGTTAAAACCAGCATTTCAGTTTGCAGTTTTAGACTTTGGAGGACAAGTATGCTAAGGCAAATAGTGCTTTTTTAAATGCAGCAATCCAAATGCAACACTATTACTTATGTTAAATCTATTATATTTAACAATTGACTTCTTGCAGTTGAATTGGCAATGATTATGGACCGTTTATATGGAGGTGTCTGCTATGCTGGCATTGATACAGACCCAGAGTTGAAGTATCCAAAAGGTGCTGGCAGAGTGGCTTTCTCCAACCAGCAGAGCTATATTGCTGCTATCAGTGCTCGCTTTGTCCAGCTCCAACATAATGACATTGATAAACGGGTAAGTAAAATAGCCTGGAACAGAATGGTTGTTACAAAACTGTACAGAAATTAAAATCATTATTATTAACAACGTGTTGGAGAACACTGTAAATTCTGTTCTTCAGATGACATATGTCAATTTTTAAGAGCTTATTTAAGCATCTAAAGCAGAGTCAAAAAAATATTTCAGACATGTTTAGCACTAAAAGTTGAAAATGGTTGTAAGTACATTTGCTCTTGGTTTTGTTTTGAATTCTGTAGGTCAAATTCCACAGCATTTCCCAGCTTCTTTCTCTTCCTTTAGATGTTTGCTCATTCTGCATCAATGGCTTTTATTTTGGTGGTTACTTATATAGCTTCTGACACTTCTGCTGTTATGAGGCACCATTTTCTGTCAGTAGTGTATGTCTAGACTTGGTGTCCCTAAAGCAGAGGTTTATTGTAAGTAAAATAGGTGATGCTGACCTCGAAAGTCTTGAACATTATTTAAGTAAAACCATATGCCAATAGATGCTTGATAGGCAGAAGGGGGGGAAATTACTTGGTTTTGTTCAGTCAATATGAAATCCTGGTTTCTGAAGGGCTTTTCAAGTCTAGAGTGAAGTTCACTTAAATCTGAGTTAAATACATTAGAAGAAAACATTACTTAATTTCCAAGATTTTTTTTCCTTTAGACCTTCTATCTTCACCTCTTGATTACACATACATGTTTTTGAGGGCCCAGCAATTCAGAATTATTCAGGAGAACATACAGCATGCACTGCTGTGAAGTATTTTTCCAGGAGGGATGACTTGTTTTCTCCCTAATCTGATATAAATTGTTTCTTCAGAAGTTAGTTTAACAGGTATTGGGTGTGTCTGTTATGTGCACTATGCATATGAATCCACACAGCTGCAACGTTTGAAATACATCTCTTTAAAAATCTGAATTGAACTTTTTGTCAGATTCAAGGAGGTCATGGAGTTATAAGTCCTCAAATAATTTTTCTGTGGTGCTGTACACCATATTGCATTAACTAAGACAAGGCTATTCCTAAAGATTTCTTGTCCATTGAATTCTGAAAAATCTTAGATTGGGAAGAGTCTCAATCACATGTCGAACACTTTGAGATTTATATACCAAGGGGTTTATATTACAAGGGGTTTCTTTCTAAGCTTTAGGGTAGAGCCACAAAAGATGCTAGCTAGTAGTTTTTTTATCAGTCACTTCCTTTTTCACTTGGTTGATTGATAATTTAAGTTTATTTAATTATCTCTTACCTGTTTTGAATAGGTTTATCTGTGAGTTTGAAGAAGTATGAAGTCTCTTAATAAGTCCTTAAATCTTAGTTTTTTAAATCTAATAGATTGAAATCCCTGGACTGTACAGCATACATTCCTAAAATCATTTCACTAGTAACCAAAGCAAGAAAAGACATGAGAGAGCGAGAGACTCTATTTCAGGCCTTCACAATTTATGCTTGGGAAATGTGAGTAGGTGGGGATCTAGAGCTGTGTTGGACATTGGACCTGCTTTCTTCCAATTTCATTTGAGACAGTGCTGTTTTATTTTACAGGATGCTTCTAATTTTAGTGATATGGCATCTGATATGCAAAATGGCAGTTATTCAGACTTGTTCCATGCAATACTGGTAGCACGGTATAATTAAAAAAACCAGATTGGCAGCCCTACCTGTTAAATAGGCAAGAAATATCATTCACTATATGAACTTTACTTCAAATGAGTAACATCTGTTGAAGTGAGATCAGTTTAAGCTGAAGTAAAATACAGCATAAAGCTTTTGTGGGGAATGCTTCTTGTCATTCAGCTTAACATCTTTTTCTGTGTTTCTTTAACTTTGTATGTATTTAAGTGTCATTACTAGAGTCAGGTTTTCCTTGCAGTATACAAATTGTGCCAGACTAGCACTTGTGCAGTTACAGCAAAATTATTTATAATAAATGTGTATTTAAATTTTTCTGTGTCTTCTAATGCAGTTGACTGTACTTCAACTACTTTATAAATAGCATCATAGAGCTGTAAGAATTATACATGCATGAACTAATGATTTCCCTGGAATGAACGAGCACTCAATATAAATGTGTAGGCATGACTTGATTCATAGGAACAGACACACAGGAAAGAACTTACATGTTGTCAACTCCTGTAATAGCATTATTGCAAGTGTCTAGCCATTCATCAGCCCTGCTGTGTTTGGCACAAGTGCTTTAAAAACAAAAAGCATTCCAGCCCCAAGATGTTTACAACTGAGTGTAGGACAAAAGTCATCAGCTCTCCAGCCTGTTTGTAATTGATGGCAAGGCCCTAGTTGGAATTACTGTGAAATGTTGTTGCACTGCAAGAGCTAAAAATCTTTAGATAGTGATTTTTGCCTACAGAATTAAGGGTATTTAATACAAGAACTTTTAATTTTGTTCAGTTTGAATCTCTTATCAGTCTGGTCCTGCATCTTGCAATTCACAAAAAAAAAAACAAAAGGAAAAAAATCTTCTCTGGAAAAAAAAACCCTCTGAAGTTTAGAAATATAATTTTGTTCTTTATAATTTTTCTTCCGAAATGCTTCTCTGTGGCCTGTCCCTGTAACAACTGTATTCACATTCCTGGAGTTTTCTTAGACGGTGGGAAAATCCTCTCAGATGCTATTTTTGCTGTACTTCCATCTTAGTACTTTCCCACACCTCACTTTTCCAAGAAAAAGTTACAAAAGCACACCCTTCTTTCTTGAGATTTTCTGACAGATAAAGTGGTTGGTATGAAAATTCAAATACCAACCTCTTGGGTTAATCCTGCATCAGTTGAAAACCTTCAATAGTGTCAAAAAGAATTAAAATATTACTTTTTTTTCTGTTCATGCTTAGCAAAAGTATGAAATTTCCTTACAGCTGTTCTTCTTCCTGGTGCAGGTGGAAGTGAAGCCATATGTGCTGGATGATCAGATGTGTGATGAATGCCAGGGCACTCGCTGTGGTGGAAAATTTGCTCCGTTCTTTTGTGCCAACGTTACCTGTTTGCAGTATTACTGTGAATACTGCTGGGCAAGCATACACTCTCGTGCTGGGCGGGAGTTCCACAAACCACTGGTAAAGGAGGGAGGCGACCGGCCCCGCCACGTCCCGTTCCGCTGGAGCTGAACCCCAGGCCTCGCCCAGCAACAAGTACTGGAGTAAATAAAATTGAGTGAAAAGAGAGCGCTGCCTCAGGGCTTAGTGTTCTGGAAATCTGTGCATTCGTCCTCGACTTTAATGAAGATATGGGTCTTTTTATTACTATTATTATTATTTACAGTCACATTACTGAACTCAGTGTCCAGTATAATACAAACCGGCAGAGTGTAACTGTACTGATTTTGCACTTTGATTCACACAAACATCTGCTTGGTACCTTAATTTCCTACACAAGACTTGTCACTAGTGACATTATGTAGACTGCCATTCTCATCAGCCTTCACTGGGCTGATGTGTATGTGATGAAGATTTTTTTAATATAATTATAATTATAATTATAATTATTTTTATTTTTAAACTGGAGCATGCACTTATTTTCAGAAATTTAGACTTGCCCCTAGCAGATGACTTTACCAAAGGTAATATTCACAAGTAGGTGGCAGATGTAGCAAAAACTTAAACAGATATTCAGCAATCATTAGTTTGGGTCATTTAGAGTAGTAATAACCCTTAAAGAAAATAAGCCTTTAGTTGCTCTCCATTTTGACTTGTAAGGATGATACCTCATAAGCTGGATCAGACTTTTTTCTTTTGTTTTGCTGAGGGTTTTTTTTGTTTGTTTTGTTTTGTTGGGTTTTTTTGTTTTGTTTTGTTAGGTCTTTTAGTGTTATGTAAATGTATGCTGCAATAGCTTTTGCTGCTATTAAAATGGTATTACTAATACCATAATACTCTATTCAGGCTAGGGTATCAATTAAAAATGAATATGTGATTAAAATAGTGATGGCTGCTGAAAGGAGATCTTCCAAGGAAGGTCAATATTTTTTGACTGCATGTTTACTTAATCAGGTTGCTGCATGCAATAAATTTTATATATGTCTAATATAAAACCTGCCCNAGCTTCCAAGGAAGGTCAATATTTTTTGACTGCATGTTTACTTAATCAGGTTGCTGCATGCAATAAATTTTATATATGTCTAATATAAAACCTGCCCACAATGCACAAATTATGAATCTTCGTAGGCTACAAAATGCTCAGTAACAAAAAAAAATTGATTACTGACTGGAGGAAGGCATGCCTCAGTAAATGTAATGCTTCTGAAATTAGGATCAGCCCATTACAGAATGACCTGTATTACAACAAATATAAAAACTAGCTGTAGGATATTCTTAAAACAAATTTGTGGATGGTAGATGAAGTACTTTGCGGTGCTCTGTTATATATCGTGCAATTTATTTTATATAGTAAAGTGATTATGTCTAGTACTGTGATCAAACTTAACTGTTAAAGCCTCTGTATCCGACATTAACACATTTTTGACAGTTCATAACAGGTACATAAACAGAAATGAGCTCTTAGATACAACCTCTCTCCTAATGCTTGCATCATTTCCGTAGCTGCAGACCGTGTCCAGAAAACCAAAGAGCTCATGTTAGCGTACATACACTACCGATTAGATAGTCTGTCAAACTAATAAACTAGGCACATTTAAGGAAGTTAGGAAAAAAAGTGGTGCTAAAGAAATGTCTGCATATAAAAGTAACATGAGATGTCTGCTCTGTGGATGTGGCGTTATCTCTCTAATCCCTGGATGTATCCTGTGAAGCTTGAATACAATTAAGACCTGCTAATACAGTGGACATTTTTTTAGCATGAACTATGGGGCTGCAGATAGCATATAAATATAAACACACTTGGTATACTAATGATTGTGAGAATGTGTACACTATTTTTTTCTTCTTTTTCCTCCTTTGTTTTTGCAGTTCTGGGGACAATCTGACTGGATATGACACCGCATAGTAGATTTAAATGTTCTGGGTTTTGTTTGTTGTGATGTCCTTCTTTGTGTCTAATTTAGTAAGTTGGTTTTCCCAATGTTTAGTTGCAAGTATTGGCTTTGAAAGGATTTTTCTGTTTTTGGAGAAAAAAAAAAGAAAAAATAGTTTTTTACTGGTTTAAAATGCTTATTATAATTATCCCTTTTGAAGTTACTTCTGGGCGGTTTTGTGATATTGCTTTTCCCAGCCCAGGTGTCTTTTCTGTTTTTTTTCATCTGTACAAGACATTTTGTTATGCACTACTTTTTGTATCTAGACAGTTTTCAACAGTCGGCTGATGATTTTTTTTAAAGAAAAAGGCATGCTTTCTGACTGACATGATCTTTTGCAATACCTCAATTTTGAAATATAGGAAAGAAAATGATATTTTCTAAGTAAGTTTATTCAGAAAAATATATATTAATTTAATTCTGCAAGAAAAATGATTTAACAGATGGGTAACTTTATTTTTTTCATGCTTATTTGAGTTTTTTTGAAAATGAAGAAGTTAGAGCTTTATAACTGTAATATTAAAGATCATAGCTAACCTACAGAAATCTACCTAATTATGTGAAAGAAGTAAATCTTTTTGAAGAAATACCCCTCTTTCATGTAGAAAAATACCCCCAGAGAGAAAGAGAGAGAGAGAGAGAGAGAGAGAAGCTGGAAAATGTACAATATAGCATAATGTTGGATTAAATCTGAAACAAAATCATCATAAAGAACAGATGTAAACACAAACTCCATTTGGTGCTGAAAGTTGTGAATAGAAGGTGAAAAAATATTTTCCCTTAATTTGTATATTTATAATCAAGTGTGATTATGCACGACTGACCAGAATTGTGAGAGTTCTTCTGTTTGTATTTTTTTAAAGAGAACTTTTTTTAGTTTATTAAATTATGACATGCTCCCTTTTGTTTTGTAAATGAATGTGCCCCTGAGTTGTTAATATGTTATATTAAAAGAGGGTCCTTCAAAAAAAGTTATTTTTTAAAATATGGAGTTCTGAACTGCAACTTGACTAAGAAGCCCCTGGGTACAACAGGTCCTATTGTGGCCTTTTCTGATGTGAGACTTGAACTAGTCGATTTTTTTGAAGGCTAACCTAACCTCGACTATTTGTTGTTATGTGCAATACTGTTTGTACTGTTTGTATAAAAAAAAAGAAAAATGAAAAGAAAAAAGGCATAAATCTTTATTGCAGATTTATTTTCATTGCAGACTTTAGACATTGTGATTCACTAAAATCATTTTTCTACTGTCAAATATGTACCTTTTCTTCATGCTGGTATTTTTTCAATAGTAATGTAGCCTTTGTACTGAGACAAATTTTCATTGTTATTTTTAGAAAGATTTTTTGCTAAGAAAAAAATTAAACATATTTACATATTTTTCATTTTTATTTCGTATTTTCTTTAAGGAGTGCTTTCTCAACCATTAATATAGTTGTTTCTGGGAGAGACTTTCATATCTGGTCAATGTCATTAATATTATTTTGTATTTTTACTTGGAATAAATTAATTTTATGATGCTGATTCTTTAAAAGTTTATTTTTTTCATTTTCAGTTATTTTTGAAGCTAAAATCTTTGTAATATTGTTACTAAAGTGTCTAGTTTTTTGAAATGCAAAGCTTTATGTATTAACTTGCTGATGTGGTTTACAATAGTGTGGCAATGATGAAAATGGTTGGTTATGTAAAGTGATTGGAAAATTGTAACAAAGAATTGGGCAATAAAATGACAGAATGAAGCAGAAAAAACGTGATATTTTGAAAAGCCTTTTCCTTTATCAAAATGATTTAGGGAGATAATAGGGATGTCACAGTACCAGTTCGCTGTCTAGATTTATACACCACCAGTGTTGATGAAACTATTGCCGTTATAAGGAACTAAATCTATTGAACAATGGGTTTTTGACCCTGCCCATTCAGCATAATTCTTCATTACTTTTCTTGTCATGAACTCAATAAACTCTGTTTTCAGTAGCCTTAGATTGAACCTCCTAAAATATCTACTCTTCATTGTATTTTGCCACCGTGTTATTTATTTAATTAAATTGACCCTTTCCTGCACACCTTCCTTTCTGCATGCGTTTCTCAGTGGCAGCATGGAGCAGACTGTCGGTGCCCACACCATTTTCTAACCCAGTTACCACAGGCAGTGGTAGCTGCCCAGTTGATGCAAAATACTCTCAGTCCATTTCCTGGTAGCAATGCAGTAACCCCGTATTGCCGCCACCTCTGAACATCCGTTCAGCTTCTTTGTCTTTCTCTGTTCTTCTCTGCCTCTCTTGCGTCTTTGTCCTTTTTTCTTTTGTATTGGCAATACCAAGGGCCAGTATCAGAACACTTTCCACCTCCATTTACATCACCTTTGTTTCCCCATGCAGCCAGAAGAAACCCCTTCCTGAAGCCAGTGACTCTCTGTTCTGGCACCTGAAACAATCCAGACTAAAACTGGTGTTGCGTAAACAGGGCATACAATGGCTTTCTCTAGACAAAACTATTGCTTCCACAAGCTACTGATGACCTTTTAGACTAACTTAATCTAGAGCGTTAGAGTGGCTCGTCGGTAACTTGTGGGAAGAAATGTGCCCAGAGTTGGTCTATTGTGTATCCTCTGTGTGTTCAGTTCTGTAAGTAATGTATAGACTAGATCAAATAGTGAAGTAAAATTTAGACTCAAATTAGGTACTACTGGTTGGAATGTACGCAAATTGCAAACAAAGGAGATTAAGGAATGAAGAGGGAATAAAAAATTCCTGCTAAGTGGTACAAAGTTTATGCTTATATTTCTGCCGACATGCTTGTATTTTATAGCCTGCTAGCAAGGCATGGGCTAAAACAAATTGTATTGCAAATATGCAGTTAGCAAATAACTTTGCTGATTTCACTATCTGTTAGAGAAAAAAAAAAAAAAAAAAAAGAAAAAGAAAAAAAAAAGGCGCTTAACTGGGAAAAGCTCCCATGTTAATATTTCAGTATTGTGACATCTCTACTTGCAAGGTATGAGTGAAAGATTAGTCACAGATTTGTAGAAATGTCTCTTTTGTTTAATCTGGCTTGTATGTAGTTGCTTTTATGCTAGTTTGTATGATGTCAGCTAAACCCTTTTTCTTTTCCTTCCTTCCTTTCTTTTTTTTTTAAACAAACTTCTTAATCTCTGCTGCTATAGTGTTCTATCATACCACAGAGTATTTTAT